GCTGTAGGTCAAATGCTAAGTAGAGGAACAAAATTCAGAGTGAGCACTGTCAAACTCCAAAGCCCGTGCCTGCGCAGACTGCTGCTGAGCTGCTCTTTTGCTGAGCACACCAATGACTTTAACTAGCTCTCTTCTTTCTAGTTCCATGGTCAGTCCCCCAAGTCCAGACTTCCTACTCTGCTGATAACGATCTTTGTAGCATGCCTTCCTAGTCTAGGTCTCTCCCTTCAATCTTACTATAACTCTCTTCTTCTTTGGTACCAGATTTATCTTCATCCTTAGCCTCCAAAATTAGTACCATCTCCCTTCCTTACCATAGAATTGTAGAATGTTAGTATCATCAGACGTATTTATCCAGTTTAAAAAGTGCTTCACAATCTCTTATTTTCTTCTTTTCTTCTTCTTCCTCCTCCTCCTCCTCCTTCTTCTTTTCTACTGGGATTGAACTCAGGACCTTGTGCCTGCCAGGCAGGCACTTAAACCGCTGAGCTATCTCCCTGGCCCTATTCTCCTATTTCCTATCAAAGAAGCACAAGAGTGTGAGAGCTTTCTATTCTATGCAACTTCTTTCAGAAGTGAATTGTCCCTAAGTTATTAGAAGGAGGCAGATCAGGCTACCAATGCCACTACACTTGTAATAAACTCATGGCTACATAGTGTTAGAAAAGCTAAGACTTCATGGACAATGAGGCATCGAGAGCAGTTCTGGGGAAAAACAGCCTCTGGCTCTCTTCCCTGAGTTGGATACTGGACTGATTGGATCCCCTCAAACACTTTCTCTGATGGAATCACAGAGACAATGGGAACTTGGATGTACCTGACAATGAGGAAGTAAAATCAAAAGCGATGCAGCAGTCAGTAAATGCAAAGATGAGAGAGGGAAGAAGCTAAGGCTGTCAACTGGATGGATGGCAGCACTGCCTGTGGGAACAAGGAACTCTGGAGAGCGAAGCAGCTTTGCCAATGCTATGGGGGTTAGATTGGGAAGTGGGGCAGTTACATGAAACCAGAAGGGCAAGAAGCTGGTGGCTGTTGAACCAGAGTAATCAACCCAAAGAGGTCCTCTGACCTGTTAGCTCTGTTTGTGTTAAATTTCTACGAATAGGCAAAAAAGAAGAACATTGATTCGGTTGCAGAGTTAGGGAAGAGTGTGATCAGGCACTAACTCAGAAATTACAGAAACATAAAAGGGATTTGTTTGTTTGTTGAAGGGTGAGATACATTTCAGCATGTTTGTTGGTACCAGTAATGAGGATGTGTCAGTTATTGCTACAAAACTGCCGTGTAATAAATCACCCTCCAATTTGGTGATTTACAGTCATTTATTGTTAGGTCTGTAGATTGAATGATCCACTGGACTCAGCTTGGGTGGCTCCATTTTGCCCTTTATGTCTTTTCTATCTGGGCCAAGGTAATGTAGAAATGTCATCTCTGTGGCAATGGCAGAGAGGCACAGGGAGGCCTAGGTTTGGAGCCCACCAACTGATGCTTCCAACTTGGATGAACAAAGGAGTCACAAAGCTGGAAGGGGGCGAGGAAAGATTGCCAGCCCCTAACTTTAAGGGAAGAATAAAGTCATACAGCAAAAGGCAGCTAGTAGGCCGGGCCTGGTGGTGCTCACTTGTAGTCCTAGAACATGGGAGGCTGAGGCAGGAGGATCACTGTGAGTTTGAGGCCAGCCTGGACTACAAAGTGAGTTCTAGGCCAACCCGAATTGTATAATGAAACCCTGTCTAAAAACGACCAAAAAAAAAAAAGGAAACCAAGTGTATTACAGTGCTACTTACTGTAACTTCTGGGTTGGACCCTCATGATCACAGCCTTATTCCCTCCAGGCTGAAGGTAGATCTGGAAGAAGCTTGAATCCTAACCGAGTTCAAATACTCTCAGGGGTCATGAGTGGCAGACAGGTTGTGTGGTGTCTGGGCTACTCTGGTGAAGCCAAAACCTGGGGGAAACCTCAGTTACAGGTCCAGAAATTCAGCCTCAGAAGAAAAGAGTGGGAAAGAATGGAGAGATAGGCAGAAGTGGTGAGAAGCTGGGTTGGGAGGTCCTGCAGCCTGAATGGGGAGGAGGAGGGCAAGGTGTGAGAGAGAGAGAGCTGGCAAGGCATGCACACGTGCACAGGGGACATGGTGCCTGGGGAACAAAACAGCACGACCGGGAAGGGCAGCAAGAGTGATAGATGAAGAAACAGCCTGCACACACAACGCTCTTATCTTCAGGTTCTCTGCAATGGGTTCAGTGAGATCCCCTTTATCTTTCAATAATCACTTTTCACATGGATCAGTTTGAGTGGGACTATGTTCTTTGTACACCTTAAGTTCCTCAATGAAAATATTTGCATACTTGATTTCACACAATCTGTTCACAATTATGTTCACTCAACTAACCAGCAGCAAGGTCAACCCTTCATGTGTTCACATCACCTTGCCACCGAGGATTAAAAAGTCTTCCAGTCCCTGCTCATATGGAGATTAAGTCAAGATCAGGGAAAGAGGAAATTACACCCTTGAATAGTTAAAAAACAGTCCAAGACACGTGAGGACCATCTGGTGAGTTCTTCAGAGAGGGTCACAGAAGGCTATCAAAAATGTGGCTGCAGTGGCCAGGTGAGGCTTATCTAGAAGATTCAGGACTAGAGTCAGGTCTAGAGGAGGCCTGAGCCCTGAACTCCCATTTCCTAAATGAAGGTGCCCTCACCTAGACTGCAAGAAATAGAGCTCCAAGGAATAAAAATACTTCGCAAATAATATTAATCTTGCAAACATACTTATACTCTCAGACGTTTGAGGAAGAATGTGCTGGCAAGCACAGGCAGGGGAGATTAAGAGCAGGAAAACAGACAGGATAGGTGCAGAAGCCAGTAAAGAAGGGTAGAAAAGAACTGGGACCCTCGATGTTTTTCATTCCCCATCAGAGACTCATTTCAATGGTGCTGGTGGCAATCCCAAAACCATCATTTTCAGATGCTCCCAGGTGATATTGCAGAGACCTGTTCATCAGAGTCATCTTAGTGCTGACTTCTGACTTATCAGTTATCGTAGTGATCTGGAATGGTGTGAAAATATACACTTGGTGAAACATTAAGCGAACCACATGTTACTACTGTCCAGAGAACCCTGGAAATGTGATCCTCATAAACCAAGTTACCCTTATTCAATGGAGCCTCTCAATAGTGCTCCTCAGAACTTCCTGCACATCCAATCTCCTGGAAATCTCTGATTCAGGTAGGTTTGAGAGTCCTCTCTTTGAGCTGCGAAGCCTTAGGGTAGTGGTTCTCCTGATTACCCTGCACGCTAGAATCATGTAGGGGAGTTTTATTAACCAATGATGTGTATTTGTACCCTCCCCACCAGGTAGTTTAATTGGTCCAGGTAGGCTATAGACTTTGCAATTTGCGATGATCTCCATGTGACTGTAAGGGGAAGAGAAGCTTATAAGCCACAGTTCTGGGGCTTGCAGCTGAATGGTGAAGATCAGATGCAAGGCAAGGAGTCCGCAGTGGGCAGAGATGTGAATTCCACACTCATTTAAACTATGCAAGGGTAGAGGGCAGCGGTGGGTGGGCAACAATTCACACTGAAGCGGTGCTGTGGGTCATAGGGCTACCTAGAAGCTTTAAACCCCACACTCAGACGCCCCAACCTCCCACACCGAGAAGGGGTCGGGCCACCGCTTGGTTCCCACGCGCATGCGCATCCCAGAGGCCTCAGCGGAGCCCTTCGGAGCATGCGCGGCATGGGGGTGGGCAGGGCTGCAGTCCGTGGGACCGCACTCCCGGAAGTGCACGGGGTCGCACGTAGGGTGTGTGGGATCCCAGCAGTGGCTAGTGTTTCGGCACGTGGTTGCGTCCTGGCCCGCGAGCGCCCTGGAGCCACCTGGCTCGGTCGCGGAGGCGGTGTCGTCCCTGACCATCGCTGATGCGTTTGTTGCGGCTGACGAGAGCCCGGCCCCACCCCCGCCGCGCCCGGCACTCCCTCGGAGTTTCATCTGCTCCTTCCCGGATTGCGGCGCCAGTTACAACAAGGCCTGGAAGCTCGAGGCGCACCTGTGCAAGCACACTGGGGAGGTAACGGGGCGCCGAGGGGCGCAGCGCCCACCCCTAGCTCCCCGGAAGGCGCGTGCGCCATGGGCGGCATCCGGGGCTTAGGTTAAGGAGCGTCCTGAGCAAGGGCGCAGGAGTTTAGGAGCTTGGTGCTGGCACCGTGATATCTTTGCAATAGGCTGACGGCTCCGAAGCAACCTTTACCCCTACTTTGATCTGGCGTTTCAGCGGGTCAGCACCTCCTAATAATCCGCGAACACGTGCACAAATGAAAAGCGCATCCCCACCAAGCACTACGCTGAGCGGACTCCTAGGGAGCCGCTACCCAGAACCACTTCCTATGTACTAGGCAGAGCTGTGCAAGCAGCCCTTTCCCCTGGCTCCTCTGCCCCCTGCTTTATGCACCCCATCCGGCTTTCAGCAGCCTCGCCCAGCAACAGGCTTGTCAATAACATCCTTTATGTTCAGCCTCTCTACTCTTGCTCATGCTGATTCCACATCCCCGACCCTCCAAACTGGGCTCTCTGTTGCCTGTATGTCCAGCGTTCTTTTTAGACCTGCTTGGTGTATTTTGGACATTGGCACTACTGGCGTTTTCGTACATGTTGAAACGCACAGATTTGACAGTTACTGAGCCTGCTTCGTGCATGACTGGAGCAGCTCAAAGTTCTGTGGCCGTCCTGTAGCGCAGCTCACCTGAATTCCAGGCCACTGGCTTTGCTGATGTCTTGGTACCTCCTTCCTCGTCGTGATGGTTGGCTTTCCACAATCAGATACCCAAAGCTAACTAGTCCAGAGTGTGTCCACTCCGTTGCAGTTGCAGTTAGAGCTGTGAGCTGCTTTCCTTGCTTTGCTGTAGCACCTGTCAGTACTGTCTGGTGTGACACGTTTTGTACAGGTGTGCCCAGCATTCTTTTACTCCAGGCTTGACGAGGGTGAGACAGAGCCTGTGCCTTCTCTGCCCTGGGCTGACTTTACATGGTGAAATCATGCAGGTGGAGATCTATGCAGATGGGACTGCTAACTGCAGGGTGATGTAGGAGAGAACGTTGCTAGGGAAGCCTGGTACATTGTTAGGGGCAGGTTAGCAATGTTGCGCTGTTCCTAGCTGTTGTCATCCTTGCTGAGGGAAAGCCATCTCCAGAGGGGAAGTCTATAGCTGTGCCTGTTAGATGTCTTAGGCTTTTAATATATAATCAGAATTATTGACAGGATTGACATGTTTTTTCTTTCCTTTCTTCTAGAGGCCGTTTGCTTGTAAATATGAGGGCTGTGGCAAGGCCTTCATCCGAGACTACCATCTGAGTCGGCACATCCTGATTCATACTGGAGAGAAGCCTTTTATGTGAGTGGAGAGCTGGGTTTAGGCTTTGATGTGGGCTGTGTGTGGCACATCGAGCTGGTGAGATATAGCTAACTCACAAGATCAAGACTGTAAAGCTGCTTTCATGCTCATATGTAAGAGAATATGTTGTTGTTGTTTTGGTGGACCCAGGGATTGAACTCAGGCCCTTGCACTTGCCAGGCAATCGCTTATTCTACTGAGCCATCTCCCCAGCCCCTGAGAATATGTTTTGACTGTGGGAGAGAGGAAGGCTATAGTGGGTCATTTGTGAATAAATTCAGGAATGAGTTCATCTCAACTTTTCTGGTGTTTGTGTCTTCTCATCCCCTTTTAAAATATTTAGTAAATGGGAAATCAAGCTGGAAAAACAGTTTGGAAACACATTACGTAGAAAGCAGTTCTCAGGAAATCCTTGGATTAGCATGTCAGGTCTTAGGGACAGTCTTATTTGTGGATAGAAAGCTGCTGGGATAGGAGGCATAGGCATGGGGTTGGGTCCATGTGCACAGGACAATGTGGAGAGGAGGCCATTGCCGTGGGGATAGCAGTGTGGTTCCTTCCCCTCCCTATGCCCAGCCTCCCTCTCTTTAGCTCCAGGTTGCTGGCTTATTGGCCAGTGCTACTTGGATATCTCTGGGGCTGCTTTGATTTCACTTGATCAGTTTTGCTCACAGTCCCAAGAGAGAGCTAACCACCTTCTTTGATCTTCTATTCCCCTATTGTTGGCTGGGTCGGTGATACCACTGTCACTGGTGATACATAGAAAGATAAGGTGGGTTAGGGTTAGCATTAGGAAAAAAAAAAGATAAGGTGGTTTCCTCCCTCTTTTCCATCACCTACAGCATATATGTCATAAGGTCCTTATACTCCTGGGCCTCCATCTACCCTGCAGCTGTCCCAGTGTGAGCCGTAAGGCCTCATGCACTGGGAGCCCCTGCTATCACATGGATGAAGAAGGGGAAAGATTTGAGCCTCCACTGTAGACAGTTTAAGGACCAGATGCCAGTATGAGTGGCTTGAAGACATGCCAAGGAACTAGGTTTTCTGAGTTATTTTTTAAAAATACAGTTCATAGTGACATTTCATGCAAAATTAAGATTAACAAATTCTGTATTGGGACTCGTTAGACTTATGCATGATTTAAGGCTGAGTACATTTGAGGCCTTCAAGTGTGAAACAGCATCACATGACTTGATGGTCATTGAAGCTGAGGCCTGCATGGTGCGGCTTACTTAGCACTTTGGGATTTTCTGTCTGTCTCTTTCCTTTTTGGTGTTGCTGGAACCCAAGGCCGCACATACTAAGCACATGTTTTCCCCCTAAGTTACACCCCAACACATTAAGGAATTGACTGAAAACTGTTTTATACTATTATTTAGAATAATTAGCCTTTATAAAGATATCTACATATTAAAACTTTACTTTGGTTTATACAATTTCTTACAGTTGTACAGCTGGTGGTTGTGATCAGAAATTCAACACCAAATCAAACCTGAAGAAACATTTTGAACGCAAACATGAAAATCAGCAAAAACAGTATGTGGTAAGTCTGATGATTGTACATGGTTAAATATTGTGACTTTGTTTTTACATTTCTTATGTTTCTAAAGTTTTCATCATCCAAGTTTGGTCTGTCAGATATCTAAATTAGTCTGGCCTTTGCTATCCTAATTATTTATTTACTTTTTGGCTATACTAATTATGAAAGTATTAATTTGTAAACCTTGTGTGCATTAAAGTGTATCACTGGGCAAGACCTCCCTGAAAATGTTTTTGCTTTTTGTACTGTCGTTAATCTTTAAAGCTTCTTGATCTAAAGTGTTTTTTGTTTTTTTTTGTTTGTTTGTTTGTTTGGTTTTTTTTGCAGAACCGGGGAGTGAACTCAGGCCCTTGCACTTGCCAGGCAAGCGCTTATTCTACTGAGCTATCTCCCTGGCCCCCTAAAGTGTATTTTTAGGACCAACCAGATAGCTCAGCAGACTAAAGTACCTACTTAGGCAGAGCGCAGCGGCTAGAGTTCCATCCCTGGTATGCTGTGCCAGCCCCACCACCAGGGTGCGCTGAGCCTTGATTGAGGCTGGGTGTGGTAACCCCAGCTCTTGGGAGGCTATACACAGGTGGATCACCACAAGTCCATTCTACGTAGTGAGACCCTGTAGACCCTGTACTTAAGAAAAAAAAAAATATATTTTGGCTGTAACTATAAGGGTGAAAGTTGCAAATGCATAATCTCCAAAATAGTTTTAGCTTCGGATTGTTATGAACTTTATTTTTTTTCAAGACTAACAGACTTTTACTCAACAGTGTAGTTTTGAAGATTGCAAGAAGGCCTTTAAGAAACACCAGCAGCTGAAAATCCATCAATGCCAGCACCGAAGGGAGCCACCATTCAGGTGGGGGTCAGGTGTGGCTGAGGATCTGAAATGCTCACTGTGCAGACTAGGGCGTGTGGCCAGGAGCATGCATTCTGAAGCCCACTTCCCAAACAGCCCTTTATGGCAAATAATGTACATTTATGTGGTATTTGAAAAGTTAAATTTTGGTTTTGTTTCTTTAAAAGAAGTATTTAATTTATTTCAGAATAATGTTTTGAGGCTATTACAGTGTGGTTAAGCTTGGAGGCAAGGCTGCAGGACAACTTTTAACTATTAAGGTGGAGCCTGTTGACTTCTCTGAAATGCCAGTGTGAAGACCCAAGTTACTCTTCTCCCACAGAATGTAACAGAAGTAACCAGCCTCAGCCTGCAGAGGATGTCCTCAGAACATGCAAGGGTGGCTGACAGCGTAGAATTGAGCTGGGAAGGGTGCTGAGAGTGAATTCTGCCACCTCACACCAGTGGCTTGATGGTGGCTGGGCTGGTGTTGCTTTTGGCTGCCCTCTGCCCCGCAGTCACTGTGGTGGCAGGGCTGCCCTGGCTTGCAGGTCTGCAAACAGTCCGTATGCTCTGAGCAGGCTCAGCCTTGCAGCAGTGGTTTCTTATCATACAACCCCTGTGTAGCATCCTTACATAGATGGCTCAGGATGGCCTGGGTTTCTTATACCAAGTTGGACAACCTGCCAAAGTGACTGTGACTGTAGCCAGGAAAGCAGAGTAACCATCAGGGTATAAAAATGAAAACAGTGTTGAATTTGGTCACAGAAGCAAAAAAAAAAAAAAAAAAACCTTTCTTTCTCTTAAAACAGTTCATTTTACTGCAGGGCTGGTCAAGTAACTTGATTTTCACCTGTGATTAGATCTGCTTTTTAGATTTTATATTTCTCTGGCTGCTTTTGTTGTTGAAAGAGGCAAGACTTTGCTAAGAGAGCCAGGACAGAGTACCATTTACCCTAAGTGGAATATTCTGAAATGGATCTGCTAATACATCCTGCATTCTAACCCAGGTGTACCCAGGAGGGATGTGGGAAGCACTTTGCCTCACCCAGCAGCCTGAAGCGACATGGGAAAGTCCACAAGGGTAGGTGTGGATGGCCTTGTGCGTCTCACTGGAAAAACACTGACAATAGGAGGCGTTTCATTCATTCTGTGTATTTATACTGATTGTGATTTTTTGACTGCTTGGTGCTCTCTGGTCTATTCCATAGTCATGCTGAGGGGATAGGAGATACACGGGCAGGAAGGAGGCAGCCTGCTGCCTCAGCTTCTTCTCTCATCAGAGCAGCAGTGGGGCTGTCTGGTCCTTCACCCCTGTAACTGCTACGCACACGTAGTGCTGTGCTGCTGAGGCCCAGTGCTTGTTGTGCTGTCTCTTAGGGTTGATCTGTGTACCTGCCAGAGTTTTGCTGCTGTATGTTATTTTTAACCTCTTCTGTCCATGCCCGTACTGTTCTTTCCATTTGGCCATTCAGAAGGCTTGGGTGATTGGCAGTGTTCAGACACATGACATTTTAGCATAATAGAAAACACCTGATTTTGATTTCATCAGCTACTTGTATCTATTGTTTCCAGGGGTGGTTTTTGTTATCTCTGCACCAATTTCTCAGGTCCTAGAATTTAAGGTTTCTAATTTTTACAAGATATTAGTGAAGCTAGATGGGATGGCACACACCTGTAATCCCAGCATTTAGGAGGCTGAGGCAGGAGGATCATTGAGTTTGAGCTCAGCCTGGGCTACATAATGAGTTCAAAGCTAGTCTAAACTAGATAGCAAGACTGTCTCAAAAACAAAAGAGATCAGGGAGCAAGTGTAAAGTCAGGCACTTCATTTGTTTCTAGTGGGTGAAACTTAGCCTGGCAGTTACATAATCCAGTTCTAGTGCTTTTCTCACTGTCCTTTTTGCAGGTTTGTTTTCTTCTGTGGCTCTACCCTACTCCTTTCCTGCTTGTGAAATTGGGTGCAAGGCTAGACTTTAGAGCTGGCCAGGATGTGGGCAGTGTTAGTCTGCTAAGGACAAAGGGGCTGCAGAGCACTTTTGCCAAGGGAAGAAAGAAGTGAACCCTGAGCAGGCAGGGAAGGGGTACATGCATTAGGAGGGGTGGGGGTAAGACAGCTGACTCCACAGGCTGCCCACCAGCCTTCCAGACAGCTTGCTGGGGAAAAACCCTGGCATGAAGCTCGTTGGTGGGCGGTTGTGTAGTTTCATATCACATAAACCTTTGTCAGCTTACGTTCACCTCAAGTCCAGCAGGACAGAAATTACTGGGAGACGGGAGGAAGATTATGTAGGCAAATAAAGTTCTAGTCTAATTATCATTGATATTGACTGGATTTTCACAACAGGAGATGCACAGTTTTTGGTTTTTTTTTTCCACACAGGCTACATGTGTCAAAAGGGATGTTCTTTTGTGGCCAAAACATGGACAGAACTTCAGAAACATACGCGAGAGACCCATAAAGGTAAGGCAGGCGTAAAGGAATGGTACAAGTATTTGCTGCGGGTAAAGCTTTCAGAGTGAAATAGTCATTGTGCACAGTGAAGCAAGGGAATCCCGTTTTCTGTTTTCGTTGGCTTATTGGCAGGTGAGCGCAGTGGCGCCAGCCTGAGAGTGCCACCGTGCAGACTTAGTACAGGAAGGCTGTGGCAGGCTCCAGCAGTCTGGGGAGCACTGATGCCCTGGCAGTGCCAGGAAATGGTGCCTGACACGGGGCACAAGGAAGGACGCGGTGTGAGCCGTGACTGCATTTTCTTAGTAGTCACCATGCTGAGACACTGTACGTCAACTCAACACCCACAGCTTTTGGGAGTGATTTAAGAATTTTGAACTTCAGCAAACCCCCAGTAGTAAAAAAGAGGGCCAGAGTTTCCAGAGAAATTTCTGACATATATCTAGTCATAGGCCTTGGACAATGACCATGTTACCCATTTAGTGAGTTTTTTCTATATGATGATAACTTGGGGAATGATTACATTTGTGTGTCTGCTTCCTCAGAGGAAATAATGTGTGAACTATGCCAGAAAACATTTAAGCGCAAAGATTACCTTAAGCAGCACATGAAAACTCATGCCCCAGAAAGGGCCGTGTGCCGATGTCCAAGAGAAGGCTGCGGTCGAACCTACACAACTGTGTTCAATCTCCAGAGCCATATTCTCTCTTTCCATGAGGAACAGCGCCCATTTGTATGTGAACACGCTGGCTGCAGCAAAACCTTTGCCATGAAAGTAAGTGCTTCCGCCTGCCCCATGCTGTCCTACCGCTCTAGGGAGTTGTCCTGTTTGAGCAGGGCTGACACTTCTACCACTCCTGCTGCAGCTGGGGTGGTCCTTCACTCCTATCTGTAGGCTGCAGGTCGGCTGAGACAAGCAGGTCTTAAAACGTGCCGCGAGCCAGCACAGGCATCCGATGGGAACCCACTGCAGATTCCCAGGCTGTGCTGAGTCAGAATCTCCATCGTGGGTAGGCCCAGCACTCTTGTTTAAACAGGTGCTGGATGGGAGGGCCAGTGACCTTGATATCTATACTTGCTACCCAGGGTGTGCTGGTGCTGTGTGTGTCCCTTTAAATCTGAGAAAAGAATAAGCACATGATGTGGGACCAGACATTCAGGGGTTCCGTCCTTGGCTTAGCACTGTTCAGTCAGGGAAAAAGGTGATGTGCAGTGAAGCGGGAGGCTCACCCTGGCTGGTGTCTCAGCGGGTTCTTGCTGTGAATTATCAGGGACTGCAGAGAGACCTGAGTGAGGTTCACTCAGAAAACACCTGGGGCCAGCATTAGCAATGGGGACACCAGACATGTTTTCCCATGTTCATGAATGCTGTTTGGATTAGATCAGTTAAAAGCACCCTCTTCTACTTTGAAGAGCTCATTTACAACAAGCCTTTCCCTTAGGATAGAACCAAGAGCTGCAGGTGGGTGGAATCGCATAAATTCCTAACACAGGGCCTTGCAGAAAGGCATAGGTCCAGGAGTGAAGTCTTCCCTGGGTTCTAGGGGGAACGGGAGGTCACTGTGTTAGCAGAAGGAAGGCTGACGGGTTTTATAACTCGTGGAGGTTTCATGTTAATAGACACCAGTGTTGGTGCTTTTAACATTCACTGTTTTTCTTTCCCTTCCCTCTAGCAAAGTCTCACTAGGCATGCCATTGTGCATGATCCTGACAGGAAGAAAATGAAGCTCAAGGTAAGTTGATGCTACTTGGTACAGCTTTCATGTTAATTCCACAGCTGGAATATTCTCATCCCCTTTACTCAGAAACTGCTGTTTGTTGAAGAGCAGTTCTCTGTAAAGGAGGACATGTACAACTACTATAAATGAACCCAGGTAATGGGCCAGCCACATAACTCAGCAGATTAAAGCACCAGCTTAAGCAGACACAGGGACTCGTGTTCAATCCCCAGCATACTGTGCGAGCCCCGCCCCTGGGGTGTGCTGAGACTAAGACTGGGTGTGGTGTTGCACGCCTGTAATCCCAGCACTTGGGAGGCTGAAAACAGGAGGGTCACTACAAGTCTGATCTGTATAGTGAGACCCTATATCCTCTGTACTAAATACATTAAAGAAAAAAAAGATAAATTTGATTTTGAATTCTGGTTGTTTGCCTTCCTTATTCCCACAGGTAAAACCATCCCGTGGGAAACGGAGCTTGGCCTCTCGCCTCAGTGGCTATATCCCTCCCAAAAAGAAACAAGAGCAGGACTCGTCGTTGGCTGCAAATGGAGAGGTGGAGAGCTATGTGGAAGACAGGGTGCTCTCCAGTTGCAGTACTTGCCCCCCGCTTGGGTTACCTGGCCTTGGTGAAGGGCTACAGACCAGTGAGCTTATTAGAGCTTAGAAGCCTATTTTTCTTTATTAAAATCATGGGTGTGCCACATCTGATTCCCTGCCATTTCCATTTTCTTTGTTCAAAGTATCTCTTTTTTCGGTTTGAGAGTCCACATATGTCTTCTCTTCTTTCTTGCTCAGATGACGAAGAATGCACATTAAAGCTGTTCCTCCTTTAACAGCTTGTGGTCTGGACAAAAAGGTAGCTACTCCAGGCATGGTCTGAAGTATCTGATCAAATATTTCCTCCTACAAAAGGAACAGTCCAAGATTAATTCAAAATCAGGGTCTCTGATGCTTTCTGTTAGTGCTCAAACAATAAAAAGCAGCATCCTGGAATTGCTGCTGATTTAAGTGACTGTTTGAGTCCCATGTCTGGTTCCATGACTGAGGTCTGTACAGTAACCCTCAGTGACTAAACTTGAGTCTGCCCTCTGTCACAGCTCTGAGAGGCTACCTCTAACCCTAGACTACCCGCTCCCCAAAACAAGTACCAAACACCAGGTCTGAGTATTGGCAGAGTATCTTTATCTCCAATGCAGATCAGTGCAGTTTCTATTGGTGATGCTGAGAATTACTTGAGGTGATTTTTTTAAAAAGGCACCTTGGGCTCCCAAAATTTCTAATCAGCCAGGCTAAGCCTGGGCCTGGGTTGAAGACCACATACTAAGGCTGTGGGTGGGGGGTGGTAAAGTCACCCAGCTTAGAGCAGGACACAGAAAGTGAACTGGGATTGTGAAGTGATGTATCTTCTAGCAGACAGTTTAGCCCATAGTGTGCTGCTTATAAGCACTTGAGACAACCTAAAAGGTGAATCTCTCAAGTTTTTAGTTTTCCTGCTCAAAAAGTTAGATATTCTAATTTGTAAAATGAGATACAGCTTTTATATTACAATGTTTTCATACAGCAAAATAGGCCATATGGAAGCACCTTGATACAGCATGTTTCATTTAAAAAATAAACAAATTACTACTACTGGATAGTAGGATTACTAGTCACTTTTCTTTGCCTTTAATTTTTCCAGATTTCCTACAAGTGTAATTTCACATCAGAAAACCAAAATTCAAGTGCTTATGCTTGGCTTTACTTACTGCTTTATTTTCTGGTTCATCTGCATGTTTCCTTTTCTTTATGGTGATTTGAACCTGATATTTCTTCTCAATCCACTGTTGAATCTGTTTACACTTTGTGTCCAAGTCATGTTGTCCAATACTTGCAGAAAAAGTCAGTTCCTTTTTCACAGTTGGTCCTGGTTTGAGACAGCAAGATTTGGGGCAAGGAATACTTAGGAGTTTCCTTTGAGACTGAATTTCCCCTACCTCAGAACACCTCTGGTTGCACAGGATGCCTGATGATCCCCTCAGTTGCAGAGAGAGCAATCAGTGACTGCTTTATTAAATGCGACAGACAGCAAAGTAGCAATTTATCTGTCAAGCAATGGTATTTAAGTCCAATAAGGTTTTTGCATCATGCACGACAGAACTATAAATAAGGAATAAAAATCATCCAAGAAAAGAACATGAATGGGCAACTCAGGAAAAAAAGCTCAAATGGTTGAAGGAAATACATTGAAACTGTAAGTTTCCCATCATTAGCATGAAAAAAATCAGTGGGACAGTACCAAGGGTGGGTGAGAATGTACAGGAGGGGATTTCACACACTGCCGATGAGAGCGACTTGACTGGTTTGGTTCACAGAACCTAAAGGATGTACAAACATTCATGATAATGGAAAACTGGGAGCAAGCCCAATGTCGTGAAAATGGGTTAACAAATTTGATACAGTCTTACTATGGGATGTCACATGGTAATTATAATAAATTAGCTACAGCTATTATATGTATAATGGATAGATCTTGAAACAATAGCATGCCATTTATATCTTTTTACACAAAATCTGTACTGTTTATGAATGTATCTGTGTTGACAGTCACTACATTGTCTGGACCTATACATGGAACCCATGAGAGTAAGCAGGGACTGCTGGGAGGGGAGGATGGGAAGGCAGAAAGGAGTGGGGACTTTATCTTTTCTCTTAATACTTTCTAGACCTTAAAGAAAGTATTCAACCATGTTAACACTTGTCCTTTTGGATCATGGGTAGGTAGTGTTCATCATACTACATGTATGCTTTTAAATTTTCCAAACAAAAGTTGTTTTATTTTGATTTTTTTTTTTTTTTTTTTTAATGATGTGGCTTTGGGGGATGAAAGTTGTTGAGATTGAGAGTCCAGAACTTTCACACTGAGGTATATATATCCCCAGGACCAACCCCTCTCCATTTTTTTTTTTTTTTTTTAGTCAGGACCTCACCATGCTACTAAGTTGCCCAGCCTGGGTTTAAACTTGCTATCCTGCTTCAGCCTCCCACAGTGCTGAGAATATGGGTGTGCACTACCATTCCTGACAAAAAATTTTGAACATCACTTTGCTCTGCCACAGTTCCTACCAGTAGGTTCTAAAGCCTCATTAGGATAAAGTAATTCCTTAAACATATCAGGCCGCCCAATTTTTCCAGTCTCTTCATACTGAGCAGGCTAAGGCAGGAGGATTCTAAGTTTGTGCTCAGCCTAGGCAACTTAGCAAAACCCTGCCACAAAATAAAAAACAAAAGGACTGAGAATGTAGCTCAGTGTGAAGGTTCTGGGTTCAATCTCCAGTACAACAAAAACTAAGCCAAGTAATTTGCTTTTCTCAGGGTACACAACTCATGACAGCTGGATGAGAACCAGTCTCTTGACTCCTGTCCCAACACTCTTCCTACTGAGCAGTCTTCCATCATGACCACATTTTAGGGGCCATGAGAAACAACTTCCTTAATATCCACATACGGCTCCCTCTAGGATTCACTGACCAGTGCCTGGGAAAGTGAATGGCCATGTATACAAATGAGCATTGTGACAAAATACTTGGGCAGGACAAATGTACAAATCTCATACACACCTGTAATCCTGGCTTTCTGGGAGGCTCAGAAGGCCACACATGGGAGCCCAGCCTGGACAATTTAGCAAGACTATCTCAAAAAATAAAGCCCTGAGGAGGCAGCTCTGTGTGATCTCTGGTATGAGAAACTTGAAACCACCTCTTGTGAATCTCTTTCCATTCTACCCCTCATGCTGTGCCATCTGGACACAGTGCCACGGGACCAGGGGAGAAGAGTTTCTATCATTTTGGTTTGTTTGCCTTGCATTTCATTTTACACAGGCCAAAAGGGAGAGAGACAATGGAAACGAGATATCAAGGAAAAATGGGAAAAAGAATGGAAATAAAGTGAGGGGTGAGGAAGGCAACAGACACTGGCAATGCCAGTGAGGGCATGAGTGCTTTGACTTTTCCAGTTTCTCATCTTCCATTGTCATAAGCACTTTGGAACATGCAGAAAGTTAAATTGCTTGTTTGTAATCATTAGAGATTCGGGGAGCTGACAGCAAAACGCTCACCAGCTTTGGGTTTGGCCTTCTCCTGCTCCCGGCGTCTTAGGCGCTCCTGGTGGATCTGTATGCCTGTCATGAGCTGGTACTCGGGGGGCTCTGTGTCGCTGCTCCTCAGCACCAGTCTCAGGTCTCGCTCGTCCATGAGTCGGATCACATCTGCACGGTGCATGTTTCCCAAATCACTGCCCTTCTCATCAAGGACTCGAATAATTCGTGCATGAATTTTCCTTCCAGTATTAGTCAAAGTCCCATCATTTGTTTTCTTTTTCTTGTCATCCTGGGTGTCTTCAACAGTACAAAAACACTTTGCAGGAATTAGGGAGGTCAGCCTTGGGGCAGAAGCAGTCAGAGACAATGGTGCTGGGGTTGTCTTTCGCACCGTGTGTTTACCAAAATATCTTCTAATGCAAGTATTTTCAGTCTTTATGGTTTGCAGTGTTAATCTCTTTAGAACAAAAACAGCCATCCTAAGACAATAATAAGTTTGTTAAGATTCAATCATTTATTCCAATGGCTGGCTAGGTACATGGTAGGGTACACATCAGGTTGCCATCTGCGTATGTCATGGAAATGCTGGTCTCAGGACTACCCAATCTGTGCGTTGAGTTTACACCTGGAAGGTGGATCACCGGGTGACTCTGGCCAGACTACAGCATGGTGGTACTGTCCCTAGTCAATGGACTTATTAGAACAAACCAGCATTGCAGGGTTTTGGTTTTCTACTTCTTTTCCTCCCATACTTATTGTCTCACTAGACAGTTTTCCCCCTGGATTTTGCAGTGCTACCTTTAAGAGCAAAGATCATCCTCAGGGCTATTTATGAGGATGCAATATAAAAAATGCCTATTGATTCACACATCCCGATTTCTAAACCTCCAATGTAATCAACTGTGAATGACTTCTTACCACATGTGATGATATGGAAAGGATGAGGACACTATTTCGGGAAGGAAAACTCTCAAAGGAGGAAGCTGGCCCCTGGAAGAACAGAGGCTGTCAGAAGGAAATACCCTGACAAAAATCAAGATGCCAACCTCATAATTAATGCAGATCATTCACCAGGTGAGGCAAGCATTGCAGGCAAATGTTAACTGATGGGCATATATGATGATACTACTTTTATTTTATAGCAGAAGATTGAATTTTAAACACTTCAAAATGATACTTAGAGGCTTTAATTGCTTCTTTATCATAGTGTGTTTCTCCTTCTATTCACATGTTTGGTAAACTCAGAAGCACTGAAGGAGATGGCCCATTCATCTCATCAATGACAGGCTGAGAAACATCAGAGAAGAAGAAATCACATAGACGTGTGACTGGTGAAACCGAGAGAGGACAGGGGGCACTTCTCAAAGACTAGTTCCTATGCTGCATACATGCAAATCCCCTGGAGTATTTAAAACTGAAAATTCCTTCCATCCTGGTTATGACCTCACCAGGCTGTACACTCCACTGGCCTACTGTTGCTCACTTGTGTTGATGCGTGATACAAAAACAAATAGGGTAAATTAAACAAAGTGATGGATCTGTACATTCTCACTTCCCTCCTTAGCCAACTAGGTAACACTCGACACTTACATGCATAGCTCCAGTTCCAACTTTCCTTGTAAAGTTAACTCACTTAGATAGATGAGTATCAGCCATCAAGTCAACACTTCCAAATACAATTCTTTTTTTGCTTTTTGAGATGGTCTCACTATGCAGTGCAGACTAGCCTTAAACTCACTTTGTAATCCAGGTTGGTCTTGAGCTTGCAACAATCCTCTTGCCTCAGCCTCCCCAATGCTGGGATTACAGACATGTGCCACCATGCCAGGTACCAAACCCTGCTGGTTGCTCAGGGAAAAGACAACCTGGGCTCTTCTCTCAGTGGTCCTCCTTCAAGTCCTATTGTTCAGCCTGCAGAACATGTCCAGTACATGACCCTTCTCTCCACCTCCACCGCTGTGCCTGCTCAGGAGCCACCTGGATCACAGGAAGCATCTTACTGGTCTCCCTGCCTTGGCCCCTAGAATTGATTACCACAGTGGTGCACAGCGATCCTTTCAAATTGTGTGTCAGGATGGGTTTGATCCCCAGAACTACAGGGAAAAATTAATTAATTAAAAATAATGTGTTGACTTACTTACTTGAAGTGTCTGCTCAAATGTCACCCATGTGGTGAGGGCTTTCTGACCTCACACTCCCTCATTTTCACATCTACTACCTGGCCTTTAAGAAAACAAAACAAAACAAAACTCCATGCATTTATCACGCTCACAGTCTCCCCTTACTGGAATGGAAGTTTCTTGGCAAATGGATATGCCCATTTGGTTTATGGCTGTGGGTCCCAGAACTAGACCAGAGTGCCTGACTCAATAAGCCCATGCTGAGTGACAGACAGGCCCAAGACACAGGCAAGGAGGCATGGGGACCTTAAGCCCTTGACCCGGGTCCCTATGTCTTTTGATGTATTGCTCCTGTTGGCATATACACACCATCAAGCTACACTCTGTTCTTCTTCTCCTTCTCCTTTTTTTTTTTTTTTTTTTTTTTTTTTTGCCTTTCTTCTTCAAACATTTTTTTGAAGAAGAAACTAGGGAGTGAATCCAGGGCCTCTGCCCAGAGCCACTTCCCGCCACCTTTTTAAAAATCTTGAAATGGTCTCACCAAGTCACCATTAAGTTAGCAAGGCTAGGCCAAACTTTTGGTCCTGCTGCCTCAGCCTCTGAGTGCCGGGATGCCAGGTTTGCCCTGGCTCATTTCTCAGGTCCAGTGGCTTTCCTGAAGCTCTATGGCCAGATATTTCTTCACAATGAATGAAATGAGGTAACTGATGGGGCTCCAGCTAGAGGTGCGCTAGTACAGGAGTGAACTGAATTTCGAAGAGCCCAGATACTTCCTGTTGACTAAGAAGTTAGTTACTTGTTGATGGAGGAAGCCAGTTTGTCAGCTGTCACTGTGACAAATACCTGAGCAACTGAGAAGTTTACCTTGAAGCAGGGTGTCATGGTGCATGCCTGTAATCCCAGAATTTAGGAGGCTGAGGCAGAAGGATCAGTGTGAGTTTGAGGCCACCCTGAACTACACAGACCTTGTCTTCAAAGAAAAAGTTAAGGGCTAGCCAAATAGCGGGTTAAAGCACCTACTTAGGCAGATGCAGGGTTTGGGAGTTCCATTCTGGGCCTGCCCCACCCCCAGGAGCACTGAGACGGATTAAGACTGGGTGTGGTGATGGATTGAGACTGGGCCTGGTGGTGCACACCTGTAATCCCAGCACTTGGGAGGCTGTAAAAAGGAGGATCACTATGAGTCCAGTCTACACAGTGAGACCCTGTACACCCTGTATACCCTAAAAAAAACAAAAAAAAAAAAAAAAAAAAGATTGGCCTAAAGGCTAAGCTCTACCACAAACAGCACCATGTGGAAAAAAAACAAAAAAAAAAAAAAAAGAATAGCTTATTTTGGCTCACAGTTTTATCAGAAGATTTTTGGTACATGATTTGCTGGCCCACTGCTTTTGCTTGTGAGGTAAAGCAGTGAACTTTTGGGGGTTTTTTTAGTAACAGGAATCTATCAGGACCTTGTGCTTGCCAGGCAGGCACTGTGCCACTGAACTATATTCCCAGCCCAAAGCAGTAATCCCAAAGTAGTATGGAGGGAGCACAGGGTACAGCAAAGCCAGGAAAAGATGGGTCTCACCCACCATGGCTTTCAGGGCCTCCCTTAGTGACCAGGGACCCCCACTAGGGGGACCCCCCTGCCTCTAAAGGCTTCTTCACCTCCCAGTACCTCAGCAGAAGGCCAGGGACCTCTGACATGAAGATGCAAACACACCAGTCCTGAACCAAAAAAAAAATCACACAAATCTTAAACGTTTAGAGAAGACCATTTTCTCAGTTATCATCATCAAAAGAACAGCAGCTCAAGTCTCAGGTTTTGCTAGTTACTCTCTGAGTATCACAGAGCAAGACACTAGGGATTACATGGAATTTATACGCCCTGCAAACTTCACGGCAAAATCAGTCTCCTTTCCTCCCAAAGTTTCCATCAGTGATGAGGACACAGAAACTGTCACACATAAAGTGATGTTACTAAGCACTGACCAATTATTTATCTTTCCCTTTATAGCATCAGGGATGAAAGCTAATGTGTCTTATCAATTGATGACCCGGGATTTATGTTGAAATAGGAACTGGGTGTTGGAGGACGTGGAGCTGAAACAATTGGCCATGTGCTGCTTATTACATTAGTCTTTCTTTATTTCACCAAACATGGTAAAATAAAAATATTTCAAAACGTAGGCTAGTTTCTCAAACATTGTGTAAGTTAAAAAAAAACTAGACATGAAAAACATGGAAAGAATTTTATGAAAACCCTGATTATTTGACATAAAAGACAAAATCATTTTCCCTATTCTAATTTTCACTATTTTTCAAATTTTTATGAGGAAATAGAATTAATAAAAGATTAGGATTTTTTTTTTTTTTTTTTTTGGTGGAACTGGGGTTTGAACTCAGGCCCTTGCCAGGGAAGTGCTTATTCTACTGAGTCGTCTCCCCAGCCCCAAGATTAGGATTTTTAAAAAGTTCTGAAAACATTTTCTTTTTTTTTCCAGTGGTACCAGGGATCGAACTCAGGACCTTATGCTTGCCAGGCAAACACTTATTCCACTGAGATATTTCCCTGACCCTGTAAACACTTTCTAAGATGAGAAGAAGAGTAGAGAAATACTGAAACTATGCTTTGTCAAAGACCTTTACTATTATATACACTTAATTTTATATTAAAAAACTTCTAATTTATTTCCTTGGCTCTGCAGCAGTCAAAGCAGTGCTTTACATTAAGCTTTTTTTTTTTTAAAATTATTTATTTATTTTAACATTTATTTATTGTGTGTGTGTGTGTGGCCAGCTCAGTCCACGAGGGGGCAGGGCTGGCTGGCATGTGGTGCTGGGGGATTGAACCGCGGTCCCTATGCTTTGTCAAGCTTGTTCCAAGTAGGTGCTTTAGACCACTGAGCCATCTCTCCAGCCCCCTACATTAAGCTTTAAGGCCAGCTAAATGTTGGCTTTGAATCAGCAAAACAGAAAATACACATGTTTCTTCACAACAGGTTCTTGAATATAAAACATAAATACAAAGTTAAGAAAAAACCTGTAATGTGAAGTTCGAATTATAAATTACATAAATTTAGAACTTTAGAACTTTTATTAGGAAAAACTTCCAACTTGTAAAGAAAGACTAATGTAATAAGCAACGCATGGCCAATTGCTTCAGCTCCACGTCCTCCACCACCCAGTACCTATTTCAACGTAAATCCCGGGTCATCAGTAAATACTTCACTACATATGTCTAAGAGACTCTCTTTTATGTTTTCAATAATCACAGTAACACTATGCTGGGCCGGCAAGACACTCAGTGGACTAAGCTCCTGCTTAGGCAAACACAGTGACCGGGTTCAATCCCAGGAACCACATAAAGCACCGGCCCCACCCCCAGGCCACTGAGACCAGGTGTGGTGGAGAAAGACAGCTAATAAGTAGAGAAGCAACGTAATTAAAAAAAAGCACCTTCCCCCCCCCATGAAATCACTGAGGCAATAAACATTCAAAATAAACAAAAATCAATAGGTAGAAGGCTGATACCCAAGGGTCACCTACAGCTACTTCCAGAGTGAGTGCGGCCATGGAGACAGCTGGCGAGACCTACCACTTCTATAGGTCTCGCTTCCTGTTTCTAGGGTACCAGGCCAGATTTAGAGAGGAACAGATTAGAGGTAACCATTTCACACGTCCAGACCACACAACAACTAACCTGGTGTCTTTTTTTGGTTCCAGAAATCAAACTTAGGATCTCATGCTTGCCAGGCAGGTTCTATGCCATGGAATTATATTCTGGGCCTAAGCTGATATCTTAAAAAAAGGTCAGCATCACTGCAAATGAGAAAGGAAGGGGCAGGCTACTTTTAAATAAAAGACTGAGAGACAAAATTATAAAATGCAATGTGGTTGAAAAGACATGTTAGGGATACAGGAAGGAAATGTGAATATGGATGAGGTATTAAGTACTCTAAGAGGAGAGCTGTTAATTTTCTTAATGTGAAAATTAAACTTCTAGGAACTGCGTGCTGACTTAATATCATAACATCTGTCACTTTTTTTTTTTTGGAGACCTAATATGTAGTCCAAGCTGGTCTCAAACTCATGGCAATCTTCCTGCCCTGTCCCCCAAAGGCTGGTATTACAGGCAGGTGCCACTATGCCCATGGTAACTGTAGCTTACTTTGAAATAGCTTAGCAGGAAATACAAAATTAGTAAAATTATGACAAAATTGGCTGAATCTGATTACAGATTGCTGCATTATTAGTCTTTCAACTTTTTTGCATATTTAAATTTTTTGTAAAGTTGTTTTTTTTTTTTTTTTTTTTTTGCAGAACCAGGGATTGAACTCAGGCCCTGCACTTGCAAGGCAAGCACTAAAGTTCTTTTTTTAAAGAACCAAAAACCCAGGAGGGGAAAAAAGTTTACCAGCCATGTCAGTACATTTAACTGAGTTTGTAAGTTCTGTGTTTAACTGTAATGTAATAAACTGCATTCTGGTTTTGTGCTGCTTAAAAATTATTTTCCCTTCTTTAGTTTCAAACCTATGTCTAAGTGGTCTATAAACCAGGAATTTACAATAAAATTCTGAATTTTTTGTAATGTATATCACCATTATTTCTCAAATTTTCACCAAACCAAAGCCTAAAAGTGACTCACCATCTTAAATATTGATGGCTTCAGTTTGAAGTAGAACTCATAGGTGTTTTGCTAATTAACAGCTGAAAGTCAACAAGTTGACATTAAGGCAATGATTTTCTGAAACCAGAGGCTTGTCCATATTTCAACACATGGATGTTTCCTCTCTCCTCTCCTGTGAAGCACCAGTAAGTTCGGACAGAATAAAGCAAGACATAAAGAGAATGAAGAATAAAAGTGGATGCAAGGCTGGGTTCACCAAGGATCTGTGAAAATGGAAGTCATGAATTCTTCGATCTCAACAATAGAGGGATGGATAGGTAGACCAGTGGTCTAAATGAAAATAAAGATGCCTGTGCACAACAACCATGTGTAAAGTGAGATAGCCATGATCATCTAAAAGCCATGTATGTTAAAGTCAATGACTTACAAAGCATGACTTTATGGTATGGTGTCCATTTCTGATCTGATTACTCAGATTTCATGCTGTGTGGCATGAGTCTGCATTAAATTCAGTAGCTTACTCCATACTGAAGAGACTCATAGTATCTCATAGTATCTTTTTTTATCTTTCCTTATTTACTTGAGATTGGATCAGCAAGACACTCCAAGAGAAATAAGGATGTATCTCAGGCATCATGATCACTAAGTTCTAGAATAATGTTCAAAAGCCAACTGTATCACTTCAAAGGCACACAATACAGAGTCATTTTAATGTTCGACACATAGGTTCAATAAGAAACTGAAATGATATTAGGATATAAAGTGAGAAACGATGAAGTAAGTATGCATCTACCATATTTCCCCAACAGTAAGACTGGCTCATTAACTTTTGCTCCAAAAAATGTAACAGGACTTCTTTTCTTTTTTTTTTTTTTTCTTTTTTTTTTTTTTTTTTTTTTGCGGTATCAGGGATCAAACCCTGGACCTTGTGCTTGCCAGGCAGGTGCTTACGCTGCTGAGCTATCTTCCCAGCCCTAGAATGTAATTTAAATATGTGAGCTAGTACATATAAGGGATGAGAGGGTGGAGAGTCCCATTCTATTATAGGTTAAACACTTCACAAGCTTTTTAAAACTATGCAGCCTGAAGAGACGAAAATATTACCTGTTTATTTGTTACTCTTCTTTACCATACAGTGATATACACATGCTCTTATTGGTATCTATTTATTCCACGGAGATGGAATAAGGTTATATATATTCTAGTGAATTAAATAGGTATGGGTTAATTTTGCTAGCTGCTATCACTCTAAAAACTCCCTCGCCCATCTCTCAAAAGATTTATGAAAGGTCCTTGCATCTGCCTGCAAAATGTCTCCTGTGCCCTATTCTAACCTGGGTGGTAGCAGGTTTCGGACTGCAAGATGGCTACTGAGACTTACTCTTGCCCTTCTTCCACTCTTCTTTTTTGGCGGAACTGGGGATTGAACTCAGGCCCTTGGGCTTGCCAGGGAAGTGCTTATTCTACTGAGCCATCTCCCCAGCCCCCTCTTACGCTCTTTTAAAAGGAGCACAAAGTACTCTCCATAATAAGCCCAAGCTGTTCAAAAGCTAGAATTCAAACTTAGAAAAAAAAATTCAAACTGAATTAAAACACTAAAAAAGCGTATTTATACACACACACACACACACACACACACACACACACTTGTTTAGCTATAAAATTGAAATAACATAATAATCATGCAGAAAATGCTTAAGAAGCTTGGGAACCCAGAGGTAAAGCCTGGGCACTAAGTAGAACTTGCTCCTGTGTGTTCATCTTCTATGCGCTGTCCTCTTCCCGACCACCCTATCTTAATGGGCTGCACAACTGTCCATCAGGGGCAATGCCCTCTGTCACTCCCATTTCCCCTCATTTTCACATCCAGACCCATGGTTAACTTGAACTTCCGAGGCTCCACTCAAATCCACCCACCCCTGCCCAAATCCACTTCCCTCTCTTGTTTAAAATCGTTCCTCTCTCACTGGGCCCAAAATGGGTTTTCTTTATTGCATTGCTGTAAACATATCCAGGCCTCCTGCTCCAGCTTAAAAATGCCCGAGTTAATAATTTCATCTTCACCAGGTCAAAGTGTCCCCACCTCTCCACTGGCCTCCCAGCTTCTGGAAATAACTCTTTCCTTTGGCTTAGGACACACCACTTTATTGCCTCTGCTCCCAGTCTCATTCTTTTGATTACTCCCAAACTAAGCCAGATCGTCCTCTCCCTTCAAGCGTCTGTTGAGCTCAACATGAAATGATTCCATAGTCCGGTTTACCCCTCCCTTACAGCGATTATCCCAATTATCATTTTGTGATTATTTTATTGCTGTTCCTCCCTGCGAAGCCACGAACAGATGTGATTTATTCATTAGCGTTTGGCCCAGCACAATAAATAGTAATTGGCTTCTCATTCTCTCGTCCTATTTTCTTTAGACCGAGGCCTTTCATAACGCTTGCTACGCGGAACTGTGGCACGGCAGTAAGGGAACTTTTAGGACTTTGAGGAATCTTATGCCACGGAATCTACTAAGTGATAAAAGGAAAAAGAGCAGTTCCAGTCTCTTCACGACCTTTTCCACTAAGGCTTGTAAGCAAAATGAGCTTGCCAGCCTTTCCTGAGGAGGCGCGGGTGCCCTCCGCCCCGAGTATCTCAACTGCACCCCGGAACCCAAAGGCGGAGAGCTTCTCCGCACAAAAGCCCTCCAGTCGCGCCCACTGCTTCCCCCGCCCTAGGGAGGCGCCGCCGCGCCTGCGCCGGAGGAACGGGGGGGGGGTGCGTGCGTGCGTGCGTGCGTGCGTGCGTGCCGGAATGGCGGGGCGGGGCGGAAAGAACAGGACACTGCAGGGCCCGGGCAGGCTTTAGGTCTCGAGGCTCTGAGACGCTAGTGTGGGAACCTGGGCCGAAAAGCAGCATTACGGCCTGGCTGAACCCCGCCCCGCAGCTGGGTGTGAGGTGCCTCGCCACCCTCCGCCCCGCGAGACGGCGCGGTCCTGACCTTCCAGGGTCGCGGCCAAATGCAGTGCTGCTGCTTCCTCCGCAGATTGTCTCTTAAGACCTCATCCTGTCGTCGCCGGTCGCTGGCCACCTTACTGCCCCTCACCCCTCACCTTTTAACGTTAGCTGCTCATGGCTAAGGGTAAAGTCTGGTGGAAAAAGCCAGTGAACGGGCCGGGCAGCTGGGCCTCTTCACTCTCCGTAGTGGGCGGAGCTTCAGCCCTTGTGTTTTAAAGGAAAGGTGCCGGGTGACTTTAAGCTAGTGGATAGTTCACCCCCGATAAAAAAAATCAGGCGGCGGCACGAACAGTAACCACTCCAAAAATGAGATAAAGAATCGTTTGTGGAACTGTTGCAGCAATCAGAGCGTCACTTTCACCAGTAATATTAATAATCTAATAAAATATTGTTCATAAGTTTCTATTGAAACCATTGTTAGGGGACATTGTCTCCAACTTACAGGTGACTCATTTTCCCTCCACGCCAAAGAACGAGGGTGATGGATTCGCGAAGAATCAGATTCAAGTGCTATTAAAATTAAAAATTCTAACAGATTTTCAACCCAGTATTGTTAATGGATTTCCCAGAGTCAAAGAATAACCAGCATAGTTGGTTGCACATGTTTTGTCCACCCAGTACTACCAGGGTGCTGACTCCTGTACCTTCTGCTGCAGTAGTGTCAACCACATGCACTTCTGTTCTTCAACAAGAAATTCCTCAATGATTGAGTGAGAGGGCAGTCTGGCTGTGGTAAAACTATGCTAAAACACACTATTTAGTACTCATAAACAACTCTTTGAATCAGGTATTCCTTCTCTATTCCTTTATTCATAAGGAAGCTAAGTCAGGCTTAAATAAGTATTTGTCTCCTTTTCCTCATCATATAACAGTGTCTGGCACATTGGGCCCATAATTTGTGATGCAACGAACCCCAACACATCTCATATGTGACTCGTATGTCCAAGCTTAGTGTCTTCATGTTGGCTGTTTCCAAGTGAAACGAACCACTCAATATTCATTTCATTTTATCGTAGTCCTTCCTTCATGCCAGAACATGACAGTAAATATAGGGGTACAGTGAGTAGCACAACGTCTTGGGAAATGGCGCCCACATTTATGATCACATTTGCTGATGTGCCAGGCACCTGAGTGTGCAAGCACCTAATGTACTAAGTTAATTTAATCCATGAACCAATTACTAATATACCCACTTCACAGATGAGGAAACTGAAACATGAGGTTGATTTGTTCAAGTTCATACAATCAGCAGAATTAAGAACTGAAAGAGAGGAAGGGAGGAAAAAATAATCCAGGCAGTCTTGTGCCACAGTTGGTGCCCTTACCTCTGAAGTTCCTTATGCTGCTCACTAATGTAGTGACTTAAGCAGTGGAATAACATGCCCCTGAAAATATTAAGTAAAATGTGTAGAGGAATTGACATATTTAAATATCCAAACTGGGGGCTTACAATTTGATGATGATTAATTGAAGAATTTCACACCAGGTAGTCACTGGTGACTGAAGCTGCCCACAAGCCTTCTATTTGCAGCCCTTGAAGGCTCCTATGTCCAGAGGAGGTGACTTGGGTGCTGTCTGGCTGTTGCTCTCAGATGTCTCCAGCACCTACAAGATGGGGGTCTCATGATCCTGGGAGGGGACAAGCAGAAAGGGATGGATATTACGGACATACCCTGTCTTTGCTACTTTTCTCATTGCTGAGACAAAATACTCAAGATGCAAAGGTAAAGGAGGAAAGGTTTATTTAGTTTACAGTTTGTAGAGGTCTCATTCTGTTGTTGGCTGGCTCCAAGGCAGAGGGGCATGGCAAAGGAGAAACAGATGACGGCAGACGGAAGACACAAAAGCAAGCAAGAGGCAAGGGTATACTAGCCCTCTTTCAGTCCCTTATATTTTAACCAGGAAGGGTGGGGCACCCTTAATCCTACCCAGAACTATGCTACGCAGACTAATCTAGTAACCGCACACTCTGAATCCCAGCATCACACACTCAGCTGTGTCTAAAAAGCCCCTTCTATGGCTTCATGAGGCTTTAGGGAGCCTAGATACAAGTTATACTCTCAGAGGGAGAGAACCCATTTTTCATGTCTTGAACTCTGTTCTAATCTCCAGCTGAAACAGCTGGGTTTTTTTTATTTGTGTGTTTTGTTTTGTTTTTGTTTGAGACAAGGTCTTGACATGTAGTTTGGGCTGGTCTTGCCCTCACTATGTAATACAGGTTTGCAACAATCCTCCAACCTCAGCCTCCCAAGTGCTGGGATTACAAGCATGTGCTACCATGACCAGCTAAAATGCCTTTAAATCTTCATCAAAAGTTTTGAGCTCAGCTTGAAGACCCCTGAAAAATAGTGCATAAAGTTGGTTACTGGCTCTTCTAGGATCTTTCCTGCACTTATAGCCTCTATTTGCTAAGACATAATTTCTTTGAGGGGGAGGCTACATAATTAGTATTCCACAAATCTGTAAACTATCTGATCTATTATGTGAATAGAAGGAGACCCTTGGACATATATAGAGCTTTCCCATGCGTCGTGGTTTCTACCCATAATGTGCACATACAAAGCATAACTCAGACTCCAGTACTAGTGCTGTCACTTCTAGATTTTGCATCACATGGTAATTTCCCTGATAGGTCCACCAGCTTTCTCAGTGAATACATCAGTGTTTTGCACTGGTGAAGGATTAATGGAAATATTCTGTCCCTCCCTCACCTGTTAGCCTTGAAAATTCTTCCTTTATCCACCAATACAGAAGGAAGTTTCCAAAATGGAGAGGCATGAAAGATTCAGTTCCTTAACCTAAGGTCTTTGAGGTATGTAATGATTGATACATTGTGTCAACTTGAGAAGTTTAACTAAGGCACTCAGAAGGGGACAGGGTCCTCACTTTGCAAAGGTCCTGAGTCTGTACAAGAGGGGGACATGAAGGGCTTGGGAGATAGCTCAGCAGACTTGCCTGCCTGGTAGGTGCAAGGACTCAGGTTTGATTCCTGTTACCATATGCCATGCCTGTGCCAGGTGTGGTGGCACATGCCTGTAATCTCAGTGCTGGGGAGTCAGAGCTGCATAGTGAGATCCTGTATCAAATAGGTAAATAAATAAATAAATAAATAGGAGGAGGACATGAAGATGGTGTGAGTGCTACACCAGTCCAGGGGATGGTAGCCTGCTTACAACATAAGGTAGGAAAAAGGCTTGTCTTTTCCATTTAAAAAATATTTATTTATTTGATACAAGGTCTAGCTACACAGTTCAGACTCATACAGATCCTCCAGTCTCAGCCTCCCCTGGGCTGGGATTACAGGCATACATCACCATGCCTGGTTTCGGGGCTGACACTGCATGTGGTACCAGGGATCGAACTCAAGTGCTTTTGCTTGCCAGACAGGCACTTAGACTGCGAGCTATCTCCCCAGCCCTCTTTTTCATTTTTTGCTCTTGTTTTGGCTGCCTTCCACTGCCGTGAACAGTCGTCCCAGTGCCACACAACCCTGCCTTTGAGACAGCTGAGTATGGACGGAAACCTCCATACACTAAAGAAACCTTTCCTTCCTTAATTCTGGCCATCAGGTATTTTGTCTCAGCAATGAGAGCAAAATAACCAAGAGAAGGTATATAATACATCAGCCTCACAAAGGAATTATTCTATAGGTGCTATTTTTATAAAATAATAATGATAATGATGTGTGCCTTCATAATGTCACAGTGACTGTAACAATTTTAAGCCAATCTTATACTAGTAAAAATTATGGATTTACTGTGAAATCACATGATGCTATAAAACCTGTGAGAATTCACGTAGTCAGCAAATCTTTCAACAAGTAGTTGTTCATGGATTATGTTATTTTATACAGTTTCCCCATAACATTATCTTTTTATGAGGATAGTTTCATTAAAATAGGGAAGTTGAAGTCTCTCATGTGTGAGAGCCTGTATGATGCCAACTAAATCTAGCTGAGATCTATTGTTTCACATAGCAGCAACCCTGTCATGACAGTGGCAGTTGAGTAGGTGAAAGGATCTATGCTCTCTTTAGTTTTTCTCGACAAGATAGAAAGATCTGCAGAGGGCCTCGGCAGAGAGTGGTAAGAAACTCATTCAAAATCTCCTAAGGATATTTTCAGCCCAGTACTGCACTTCTATTATTGCATAGACCATTAACATAAACTTTGGTTATTATTGAGACATTTAATGAAAATAATTCTCATTCCATTAAAGGACATGATGCAAAACCATAGAGTTTGGACATGCAAACTTACAAGACCTTCAGTGTTTACTACTGTGGAAATCAAAGTACAACAGGCCCAAGTTAGCCAGCATATTATGTTTAAAATACAACCCAAGGACTGGAGAGATAGTTCAGTGGCGTAAGTGCCTGCCTGGCAAGCATAAGATCCTCAGTGTGCTTGCCGGTACCAATATATAATTAAAAATTTAAAAGAAGAAGAAAATATAACCAGACACTGTTCTTAAATGCCCATATGAGATCTTCTATTTAAGGAACCAGGACTGACAACAAATACAATGTTAGTGTAGAACCCATTTTGTACCTGCTGTTTCCCACCTTTGAGGCAAATGGAATGAAAGGCAAACTATTCCATTTTGGAAAGCTGCTCGAGTGTGGAGCTTTCCGTGTTGACTATATTGGGAAGACTCACCACTGTTCGTTGGCATCTTTGTTTTGCTGCTTTGCCTCCTGAAAGTTGCTAGGTTCCACTGCATAGATTTTAAAGACTGCTTTGTTGGCAGCCTAGGATGCATCCGTGACCTTACCAAAGTGGAAGTGAAAGCTCTCAGTTTTTCTTCTTTTTTTGGGCAACAGTAAATCTACTAATTTTACAGTCAGTTGAACAGCAATAGATTAATTTGTGTAAAGTCTGTATTCACAAAGGGAACCTGAACTCCAGCAGCTTGAATGCCTAAAGCTGATTTTTGAAGAGTAGACACTCTTACAACTTGCTCTAGAAAGATGCGGGCCGGCCACTGTCACCTGCTTCCCAGCACAGGTGCTGACCCCTCGGTCGATGCGGGGCCTCCTGACAGGATAGCAGGAAGGCTGGGCCTTTGTGTGTGACAGAGAAGCCTTTTCCAATGCTAGGGCCAGTTTTCTCCAACAGCCTTAGGAAGCAGAAGAAAGGAGAGGTGAAGGTCGCCACAGGGGTCACACTGGGTTAAATTTAGTTAACATCAGAG